AAAAAGGTGGAGGGGACACCCCGAAAGGATGGGATGCTGGGTGCAACATCGGTTGTGGGGTTTGAGGTTACAAAAATGAAGTCTTCTGGATCCTCTATGAGCTATAAAAGGGGCAGAGTTTGACTCCCAGAATCCCCCCAGCCAGCACGGGTGGACTACAACTCCCAGAGTCCCCCAGCCAGCACGGGTGGACTACAACTCCCAGAATCCCACAGCTAGCATGTGTGGACTACAGTTCCTCAAATCTCCCAGCCAGCATGGGTGAACTTAAACTCCCAGAATCCCGCAGCCTGCATGGGTAGATTTCAACTCCCAGAATCCTCCCAGCCAGCATGGGTGGACTACAACTCCCAGAATCCCCCGGCCGGCGGGTGCTCGGATCCTTATTTTTCCTCCCTTTCCGACAGCGTGAGAAGAAACGAATTATCTACCTCTACAACGAAATGCTTCGTCGGCGTGTGGCTTTCGTCCTTGTGCAACGCAAGCGCATCATTCTGCAGGCGCGGAGGCGCAAGAGAGTGGTGAGTGAGCACGCCAGCCCTTCGAGGTAGGCCGCGTGAGGAAACCAGCCCTAGAAGAAGCGCCGTTTTTTTTGTAAGCGATTCACTGAACCATTGAGGGCCAGGAAGGTCGTAAAAGGGGGCGAAACGTAGCAAACGTCTCGCTTAGCAACGGAAACTTTGGGCTGAACCACGGTCGTAAGTTGAGGATGTCCTGCCCGCGGTCTGACAGCCTTGATTGATGCTTCTAGGCTGCTGAGGCAGACCTGCTGACCTTCCGCCCAGCTATTTCCGGCTGAATTTCTGCTTCTGCAAATATTTTTGGCACGTGGAGCTCGGCTTCCAGCATGGAGCGGCATTCGAACTCCCACCCCGCCCTGTTAGCTGGCAGGCAGTTTTTTCCTTCCTTTCTCCTTCGGGTCCCTCCACCCTTGGGCAGCCCCAGGACCTCCAAAGCTTCCTGATAGCCTCGGATGGGTGTCTCCCTCCTGCGGTCCCCGCAGGGTGGGTTTATGTGCCCACCCAAGCCGCTGCCCTCATTGCCAAATCAGGTTGATTGGACACCCTTTGCCGATTCTCGCGGCCGGCCTCCTTTTGGGACTGGTCCAGCTGTAGAAGAATCCTCAATTTACGACAATTGAGCCCGACGTGTCTGTCGTTCAGAGAGTTTTGCTCCGTTTTACGACTGTTCCTGCCACGGTTGCTAAGTGAGTCACTGCTAAGTTGCTAAGTGGGTCACCCGGCTGTTAAAGGAGACTGGCTTCCCTCGCTGATGTTGTTCGTCCAAAGGTCGCGAAAGGGGGTCACGTGACCATAGGGCACTGTGACCGTCATAAATATGAGTCAGTTGACAAGTGTCTGAATTTGGATCACGTTGACCACGGGAGATGCGGCCACGGTCGTAAGTTTGAAAAAGGGTCCTAAGTCATTTTGATCAACCCCATTGTAACTTTGAACGGTCACTAAATAAACTGTTGTAAATTGAGGATCATCTGTGTAGAATAGAATAGAATAGAAATAGAAATAGAATTGAATTAGAAATAGAATAGAATATAGAATATAGAATATAGAATATAGAATATAGAATATAGAATATAGAATATAGAATATAGAATAGAATAGAATATAGAATATAGAATATAGAATAGAATAGAATAGAATATAGAGAATAGAATAGAATAGAATAGAATAGAATAGAATAGAATAGAATAGAATAGAATATAGGGAACAGAATAGAAAATACGGAATAGAATAGAATACAATTAGAATATAGAATAGAATATAGAATAGAATAGAATATAGAATAGAATTAGAATATAGAACAGAATATAGAATATAGAATATAGAATAGAAAATAGAATAGTGTAGAAGCTGGAAGGGACCTTGGAGGTCTTCTAGTCCACCCCGGCTCCAGCAGGAGACCTTGCTCCACTTCATAAATCTCTTTCGAAGGTGCCCATTGCCTTCCCATCTCAAATCTTCTTTTTGGGGAAAAATTAAGAGTGAATTTGGAGCCCGAATTTCTCTCCCTTTCAGAGGAAGCCGCTGCTGAATCGGATCGGACGCTGCTGTCCCTTCCTGAAACGGATCCTCCTCCGGCGCTGCATTCTTTGCAACCGGCCCGAATCCCGCCATTCGCTGACGTGCTCGAACCCCGAGTGCGAAACCGTTTACTGCCGAATTTGCTGGAAAGACATGGGCAAAACCTGCTTTGCCTGCCATCCCGAGGACCTGGTCTCGGAGGACGAGAGCAGCGAGGGAGAAACGGGCTACGCCGATTAAATGGTGGCCTTTTTCCCCCTGCCTTTTGTATTAAACGGTTGTTTTTATATAGATATATATTTGGTAGTCCCCGTTTAGCGTCTGCCTCGGAGAGCGGCTGCATCGTTGCAGTCGCAACGATGTTGAAAAATTCACTTTGCGACCCAGTCCTCGCTTGAATGACCTTCACGGGTCTTGTCAAGCAAAGCTGAAATCAGACCCTAAGCAGAGTCATGGCTCACACTTAGCTTTGCTTAAGAATCAAGGCGCTAGTCCTCACTATAGTCACTAAATCAGCATGGCCTGCATTTTAAGTAATTATAAAGTTTTTAAGAAGAGACCGGACAGCCATTTGTCTGAAGTGGTATAGGGTTTCCTGCCTGAGCAGGGGGTTGGACTAGATGACCTCCCAGGTCCCTTCCAAGTCTGTTATTCTGTTAATTCCAAGCCTCTAAGGCAGGAAAAGAGGAGAAGGGGAGGCAGGGAAGAAAGGAATAGAGGAGAAGGAAAAAGAGGAAGGAAGGAATAGAGAAGGGAGGGAGGGAGGGAAAGGAAGGAAGGAGGAAAGAGAAAAAGGAAGAAAGGAAGGATAGAATAGAATAGAAATATAGAATGTAGAATAGAGTAGAATAGAATCGAGTAGAGTAGAGTAGAATAGAATAGAAATATAGAATGTAAAATAGAGTAGAGTAGAGTAGAGTAGAGTAGAGTAGAGTAGAGTAGAGTAGA